TTACAATCCTCAAGTTGGATCACCCGATTGCAAAATCAATCCACTGATAAAAGGGAGTTCACTTTTGATATAGTAAGCTAATCAGTAGTGGCCAAATCAGAAGTTCATCTGATGACCAGAAATACCTTAAAGGATGAATGCATATCACTGGTCAAGTAATGTATATATGTTTTGCGATGTAGGAGTAGGTTGGAAGAAAGTTCGGGGCGGCCAAACCAAAACATGGCGAAAATCCATGCATTCACTGACAACTAAATTGATTCATGTTGGTAGATGTAGGCTACCTAGTTGAGGCCCGCGAGATGATAGTAATCGATGGTTAGAGACCTTAAATGACATGGCTCAAAATCATTTACAGTGACACTGGTTTATTCATTCTTTGTGTTCCGTCAAATTCTAACCTTCACAGTTCCTCATCACCTTTTCCTTCTAAAGTTTATTTTACTAGATTCTACTTCTTGAATAATATCTTCGAACCCTAATCTCTCTTGATTACTGCTAATATTGTTACTGTCTCTACTACTATGGGATTTGAATTGACAATTGCCTCTCTGTGCTAATGTGGTATGACAACTTGATCTGAGGTACGTACGTAAGAAGTTCTACATTTTAGCTGACTGACTGACTGATTTATTTATATGATCTATCAACCAAAAAGACTTTCTTCTCCACTTTTGCCTCTGCTCTGAACTGATCAGTTCGAAGAGTTAGCACGTATCACATTCAGATGTGGGATATTGCCTAACCATAAGTATTACACGCCACTATGACTGAAATGTCTTCAATTTACACAAAATCCAAATAATTATTAATAACGATCGAATAATCAAACGTGTACACTAGTTAACATAACTTCTTCCATTCTTAATAAACCATCGTAATACAAACACCCAACACACTGATTGACCTTCCATTTATTTATATGATAATATTCGTTAATTACAAGACCACATATTAAATAATATTTTTTTCAAAAAATCTCAATTTATACATAACTTAATTCATTTATTATAATATAAAACTGAAATAGTCTTCAGTGGATTATTAACTTCATATTAAGTTTTTATTATTTTTTTTAATTAGTTAAAATATTCACATTTCATTGAAAGCCTGCAATCATATTGTAGTGAACAAGAACACAGGTGACGGCAACCGGACTGTATTTAACGAAAATTACAGAGTTATTCAGTAAAATCGGAAAACCATATCGTAAATTGTTCATTTGCAAAATATCAGTCCATCATCATATCGAACTGGACTGTTCCTGTTGTAAAACATCAATCCATTGTCACTAGTCATGCATTTCATACAAATTCTATTGTGTTCCCACACTTCTTCCTTTCTTGATCTTCCCCCATCTTCTGCTGCCAGACATTACGTTGACACTCACGTCATATACTACTTATAAGTAGCTCGCACCACAGTAGGACAATATAAAATAGCGAAAACCATTAACTAAAAAAAGTAAACCTTGTATTATGATCATTCCTTGTAGACATTTCACTTTAGTCAATTATTTGCTTATATATATATATATATATATATATATATATATATATATATATAAATCAACCTATTGTTAATTTTGGTTTGATTTTAAATGAAAAAAAAGTTTATAAAATTGAAATTTCCTCTTTCCCTTCCCCACACATTTTATTCCAAAGATTGAAATGAAATAACACTATTAATGCCATAAATACATTTGGTATTTTTAAATTGAGATGAATTTACATTTATCTGGTCCATATATTGATAGGGAGTGAAGTAGTCGAGCGTGTTGACCGCTTCACTTATCTGGGGAGTCTCATCAGTGCCGATGGCCTTGTGACTGACGAAATCTTAGATCGGATACAGAAGGCTCGATTGGCTTTTGCCAACCTGCGTCACTTATGGCGTAGGCGTGATATCCGTTCTCTAATCAAAGGTCTAGTGTGCTGTGCAGCAATTCGCTCCGTCTTACTTTATGACTGTGAAACATGGCCAGTGAGAGTAAAGGATATTCGTGGTAACTGGTTTTTGATCATAGGTGTCTTCGAAGCATTGCTCGTATATCGTGGGACACCCGAGTGAGCAACGCTGTTATTAGGAAACGGGTGCTACGTAAGAAAGGCAGATCAATAGATGAAGTAATGAAACTTCATCAGTTGAGGTGGCTGGGACATGTGTTGCGTATGCCCAACCACCTACTGTCTCGATGAGCTTTGTTTTGTAGTGTAGGAATAGGTTGGAAGAAAGTTAGGGGCGGCCAAACCAAAACATGGCAGAAATCCATGAAGTCACTGACAAGTGGATTGAGTCATGTTGGTAGATGTCGACTACCTGATTGGGGTCCGCGAGACGATAGTCACCAATGGTTAGAGACCTTGAATGACGGCTCAGAATCGTTTGCAATGGCGCAGGTACATCCACTCTTGGTGTTCTATGAAATTCTAAGCTTCTGTATTCTTCATTACCTCTAGTTTTGACTTTCTTAACTTATCTCACTGAATCATATTTCTTGGATAATATCCTCGAACGTTAATCTTTCTGATTACTGCTAATATTGCTACTATCTCAACTACTATTGAATTTTAATTGACAATTGCCTCTCTGTGTTGATGTGGTATGGCAACCTGAACTGATGTACTTACGTACGAAGTTCTACCTTACATCTGACTGACTGACTGGTTCATAAATATTCATAAACAGTGATTGTCAATACTTTGTCACAAAATTGATCTCAGTTGAGGTACCATTGAAAGTTAAGCAGTATATGATAGCTGTTCCACCCTACTTTGAGGCTTCTTAGCAGTGGGTGTAAGATCCATTTTTTGAAGGCTTTATTTGTGAAAATCCCTCCATGTATACATTTGTAATTTGTCCTTATTGATTCCTTCAGTTGTACATTTTGTTAGTCTGTTCAATTCCATTTTGAGATGATAATATTTGTATTTTATTATAGTTTCTATTTCTTCTGCCTTCACTGAGTTTCTATGTTTCTTTCTGAACTGAAGCTGATACTTAGTCATGGCGACAGCCATATTGATTTGTGTCTCCTTTGATTGAGTTGCTTGGTTTGAGTGGAATTGTGCATGTTGATTGTGAATTGGAGTAGTCTTTCAGAATCGGAAGCACTCTGTGTTATGAAGCAACCAAATATTATCTTTTGAACGAATCTGATCTATCCAGAAAGGATAGAATAACATTTATTTGTTGCTGTTGATTTGAATGATTGAACAATTGTTGGCAGAATAACTAAGTGGTAATATTTGTTTAGGTAACGATGTACATTTATATTTATGATGAATATTAGAACCGTCATTTACTGAAATCACTTGTTTTGGTTTTCAACTGAGCAATAGCACGTATCTAACCTACCTAGACAGTTATTCCTCAGTCCAAACCTCAATTCGAATCCTACAGTAGGTATTCATGACCCTTTCAGTTATCGAACCTAGAACCCTCAAGTTTGATAACAAACGCCTAACTACTGGAACGACTGAGTTTAGCACCCAATCGTACAATTTTAACTTCGGTCTATTTTTAACATAGCCCGATGATGATCATCTAATTGTATTTTGATCTACCAACACTAACCATTCCTCTCTAATTAATTAACCTTATCTGTTTTCTTTGATGATTTTCATTCTTTCCAAGTAACATCAATTTAAAAAGCAAATTAAACTTCATTTTTAATTTCTTGTTTACATTTCTTACCGTAAACTCTATCGATCAAGTTGTTATCCATTTCGAATCCTGTTACACTAACCCTCCTAATAAGTGTCATTCACATTTTTTAAATTCATATTCACAAAAAATAATTTACATGAGAACTAGAAACACCCTTGTTAATTAGACTAAACACGTGTAAATCTCTTTAGTTGAAACTATAAAATGCTTTAGTCAATATTATCACGTGTAAAACCTAAAAGCTAAATCGATACTTGTATTTATAGTGTTTCGTCGCATTATATTTGCTGGTCATATTGATAATGCTCTAAAAAGTAATGGAGAGAATAAAATCTAAAGTTTTACACCTCTAGATTAGTTGTTCAAGTGACTCTATCTGCTCATTTACCGTAACAAATGTCCATACTAACTAGTGACCAAAAAATAAACTACTTCGATTATTCAATATGTCCTATTCCAAGTGTTTAATCTTCTCCTTTCTGTTCAGGTTGTGTAGTTTTTTTTTTCGTTATTCGATGTTAGTTCTTTCTTAAAAGGATAGTCTCGATAACATTTTTCAAATATTTCCGTAATTCTCTTTGCCTGTTATCTGATTGGCTGTTGTCATTTTTGGTTTGTTAATTTTATTACGTCTCAAGGTCACTGGGTGTTATTAAATATAGATATCTCAATTTTAGACTTCTGTTCAGAAGACGAGGAAGTTATCCTAAAAATCTATTCCGTTCTGTTTGCTATCAGTGTGTGAGTTATTGACATCAGAGATGAAAGTCACCGATGGTTAGAGACCTTGAACGACATGGCTCAAAATCGTTTGGAATGGCGCAAGTGCACCCACTCTTTGTGTTCTCTGAAATTCTAATCTTCAGAATTCCTCATCATGTCTTTCTCTTTCCAAAGTTATCTCACTGAACTATACTTCTTGAATAATATCTTCGATCCCTAATATTCTCCATAACCAGTAGTTCTCCTACTATCTCTACCACTATGGTATTTGAACTGACAGTTACGTCTCTGTGCTAATGCGGTATAGCAACTTAAACTGACGTACGTATGTACGTACGAAGTTCTATGTTGTTGTAATTGATTGACTGACTAATCAGAGTGCTGCTATGTGTCAGCTGCCTTTCAATCGATTCCACCATAAAACCAATACATATTGAAAAAAAATTTTTGATCGTTCATATGCATATTAATCATTGTAAATCCTCAATTCAAAACACAATTTCTAATCGTTTTATTGAGATTTAACATTATTTTCAATGTTATTTGTAGTTTAATTTGTACATGCGCCCAATGTATGATTTTTCTATTCTCTTTCTTTGAACAAACAGAATCTTTATGCTGTCAACCTCGACCTTATTTTAATTTCACTAATAATTCTGATGAAAATGACAAATTAACAGAAGAACATCATGCTACTGTGGAGAGTGTAAATGATGCTGCAGAAGAATCGGACTCATCAACATCATCTTATAGTTGTCCATTCTCTCAAGCTGTGATTGATTCAACTCAAAACTGTGATTGAAGAGCTTCATTTCAATCACAGTTTTTGAGTTGAATCAATCACAGCTTGAGAGAATGGACAACTATAAGATGATGTTGATGAGTCCGATTCTTCTGCAGCATCATTTACACTCTCCACAGTAGCATGATGTTCTTCTGTTAATTTGTCATTTTCATCAGAATTATTAGTGAAATTAAAATAAGGTCGAGGTTGACAGCATAAAGATTCTGTTTGTTCAAAGAAAGAGAATAGAAAAATCATACATTGGGCGCATGTACAAATTAAAACTACAATAACATTGAAAATAATGTTAAATCTCAATAAAACGATTAGAAATTGTGTTTTGAATTGAGGATTTACAATGATTAATATGCATATGAACGATCAAAAATTTTTTTTCAATATGTATTGGTTTTATGGTGGAATCGATTGAAAGGCAGCTGACACATAGCAGCACTCTGATTAGTCAGTCAATCAATTACAACAACATAGAACTTCGTACGTACATACGTACGTCAGTTTAAGTTGCTATACCGCATTAGCACAGAGACGTAACTGTCAGTTCAAATACCATAGTGGTAGAGATAGTAGGAGAACTACTGGTTATGGAGAATATTAGGGATCGAAGATATTATTCAAGAAGTATAGTTCAGTGAGATAACTTTGGAAAGAGAAAGAAATGATGAGGAATTCTGAAGATTAGAATTTCAGAGAACACAAGAGTTGGTGCACTTGCGCCATTCCAAACGATTTTGAGCCATGTCGTTCAAGGTCTCTAACCATCGGTGACTTTCATCTCTGATGTCAATAACTCACACACTGATAGCAAACAGAACGGAATAGATTTTTAGGATAACTTCCTCGTCTTCTGAACAGAAGTCTAAAATTGAGATATCTATATTTAATAACACCCAGTGACCTTGAGACGTAATAAAATTAACAAACCAAAAATGACAACAGCCAATCAGATAACAGGCAAAGAGAATTACGGAAATATTTGAAAAATGTTATCGAGACTATCCTTTTAAGAAAGAACTAACATCGAATAACGAAAAAAAAAACTACACAACCTGAACAGAAAGGAGAAGATTAAACACTTGGAATAGGACCATATTGAATAATCGAAGTAGTTTATTTTTTGGTCACTAGTTAGTATGGACATTTGTTACGGTAAATGAGCAGATAGAGTCACTTGAACAACTAATCTAGAGGTGTAAAACTTTAGGATTTTATTCTCTCCATTACTTTTTAGAGCATTATCAATATGACCAGCAAATATAATGCGACGAAACACTATAAATACAAGTATCGATTTAGCTTTTAGGTTTTACACGTGATAATATTGACTAAAGCATTTTATAGTTTCAACTAAAGAGATTTACACATGTTTAGTCTAATTAACAAGGGTGTTTCTAGTTCTCATGTAAATTATTTTTTGTGAATATGAATTTAAAAAAAGTGAATGACACTTATTAGGAGAGTTAGTGTAACAGGATTCGAAATGGATAACAACTTGATCGATAGAGTTTACGGTAAGAAATGTAAACAAGAAATTAGAAATGAAGTTTAATTTGCTTTTTAAATTGATGTTACTTGGAAAGAATGAAAATCATCGAAAAAAACAGATAGGGTTAATTAATTAGCGAGAAATAATTTATAGGAGGAATAGCTAGTGTTGGCAGATCACTATCGGTCTATGTTAAAAATAGACTAAAGTTAAAATTGTACCACTGAGTGCTAAACTCAGTGGTTCAAGTAGTTAGGCGTTTGTTATCAAACTTGAGGGTTCTAGGTTCGATAACTGAAAGGGTCATGAATACCTACTGTAGGATTCGAATTGAGTTTTGGACTGAGGAATAACTGTCTAGGTAGGTTAGATACGTGCTATTGCTCAGTTGAAAACCAAAACAAGTGATTTCAGTAAATGACGGTCCTAATATTCATCATAAATATAAATGTACATCGTTACCTAAACAAATATTACCAATCAGTTATTCCACCAACAATTGTTCAATTATTCAGATTAACAACAGCAAATAAATGTTATTCTATCCCTCCTGGATAGATCAGACTCGTTCGACAGATAATATTTGGTTGCTTTATAACACAGAATGTTTCCTATTCTGGAAGAGTGCTTCAATTCACAATCAAAATGCACAATTCCAGTCAGTACAAGCAATCCAATCAAAAGAGGAACAAATCAATATGGCTGTCGCCATGACTAAGTATCAGTTTAAACAACATAAATACAGTTCAGTTCAGAAAGAAACATAGAAACTTAATGAAGGCAGAAGACATACAAACTATAATAAAATACAAATATATATCATCTCCAAAATGGAATGGAACAGATTAACAAAATGTACAACTGAAGGAATCGATAAGGACAAATTATAAATGTAAATCTCATGTAGGGATTTTCACAAACAAAGCCTTCAAAAAATGGATTTTATACCCACTGCTAAGAAGACCCACAGTAGGGTGGAACAGCTAGCTATCATATACTGCGTATCTTTCAATGGTAACTTAACTGAGATCAAATTGTGAAAAGTATTGAGAATCATTGTTTATGAATATATATGGACCAGTCAGTCAGATGCAACGTAGAACTTCGTACGTCAGTACATCAGTACATGTTGCCATACCACATCAGCACAGAGATATAATTGTCAATTCAAATCCAATAGTAGTAGAGATAGTAAAGTTATCAGAAGTAATCGGAGAGGTTAAGATTAGACGATATTATTCAAGAAGTATGATTCAGTGAGATAGGTTAAGAAAGTCAAAACTAGAGGTGTTGAAGAATCCAGACGATTAGGATTCGAGAGAACACAAAGAATAAATGCAACGGCGCCATTGCAGACGGTTTTGAGCCATGTCACTCAAGGTATCTAAAAATCGATCATTATCATCTCGTGGACCCCAACCATCTAGTCGACAACTACCGACATGGCTAAGTCCATTTGTCATTGACTTCATGGATTTCTACCATGTTTTGGTTAGGCCGCCCATAAATTTCTTCCAATCTACTCCTACACTAAAAAACAAAGCTCGTCGAGGCAGTCAGTGGTTAGGCATACGTAACACATGACCCGACCACCTCAACTGATGAAGTTTCATTACTTCATCTATTGATTTGTCATTCTTACCTAGCACCCGTTTCCTAATAACAGCGTTGCTCACTCGGGTGTCCCAGGATATACGAGCAATGCTTCGAAGACACAGTACACTCAACCTTTAGTCAGCAAACGGATATCTCGCCTACGCCATAAGTGACGCAGGTTGGCAAAAGCCAATCGAGCCTTCTGTATCTGAGCCGAGATTTCGTCAGTCAACAGGCCATCGGCACTGATGAGACTCCCCAGATAAGTGAAGCGGTCAACACGCTCGACTACTTCACTCCCTAACAATATATGGACCAGATAAATGTAAATTCATCTCAATTTAAAAATACCAACTGTATTTACGGCATTACTAGTGTTATTTCATTTCAATCTTTGGAATAAAATGTGTGGGGAAGGGAAAGAGGAAATTTCAATTTTACAAACTTTTTTTTCCATTAAAATCAAACCAAAATTAACAATTGGTTGATTTTTATTTATATATATATATATATATAAGCAAATAATTGACTAAAGTGAAATGTCTACAAGGCATGACCATAATACAAGGTTTATTTTTTTTGTTAATGGTTTTTGCTTTTTATATTGTCCTACTGTGGTGTGAGCTACTTATAAGTAGTATATGACGTGAGTGTCAACGTAATGTCTGGCAGCAGAAGATGGGGGGAAGATCAAGAAAGGAAGAGTGGGGGGAACACAATGGAATTTGTATGAAACGCATGAATAGTGACAATGGATTGATGTTTTGCAACAGGAACAGTCCAGTTCGATATGATGGACTGATATTTTGCAAATGAACAATTTATGATATGGTTTTCCAATTTTACTGAGTAACTCTGTAATTTTCGTTAAATACAATTCGGTTGCCGTCACCTGTGTTCTCGTTCACTACACTATGATTGTAGGCTTTCAATGAAATGTGAATATTTTAACTAATTAAAAAAATAATAAAAACTTAATATAGAGTTATTAATCCACTGAAGACTATTTCAGTTTTATATTATAATAAATGAATTAAGTTATGTATAAATTGAGATTTTTTGAAAAAAAAATTATTTAATATGTGGTCTTGTAATTAACGAATATTATCATATAAATAAATGGAAGGTCAGTCAATGTGTTTGTATTACGATGGTTTATTAAGAATGGAAGGAGTTATGTTAACTAGTGTACACGTTTGATTATTCGATCGTTATGAATAGGTATATGAAATTTGTTTAAATTGAAGATAATCCAATCATAGTGGTGTGAAGTACTTACTTATGGTTAGGCGATATCCCACATCTGAATGTGATACGTGCTAACTCTTTGAACTGATCAATTCAGAGAAGAGACAAAAGTGGAAGAGAAAGTTATTTTGGCTACTGGATCGGTGCTTCACTATGAAGGCTACCCTCTGGTTGAAGCCAGGGGCTAAATCTGTTTTCTGCCCGAAAAAAAACTTGTTCCATATGCATCATCATTATCGTCGTAAAATTCAACAATACTGTTTGCGATGGTACAAAACGCAAATGTAAACATTTTCTATAGACCTTAATGTAACCTTTCAACAACGTTATTGACCACAGTCAATGCCCACCGATTTAATCACCATGCTAAACGGTGGGAAGTTTTTCGAAAAGTTGGACGTTGCTGATATTCATCATTTACAAGTGGAGGTGGCTGAAGAAACGATAGAACTACTGACCACTAATATCCAACACGGTTTATTTCAGTATAACTGTCTATCATTTGGAGGCAAGACTGTCCCATTTATCTTCAAAAAAATAATGAATGGCATCTTAGCGGGTTTCCTGGGGATCGCAACTTACCTTGATGATATCTTAATTGTCATCACTTCGTCAGAACTACGAGAACAGACGACAACCTTGCCACAACGCTTCCGGCTACATTTGGAAAAGTGCCAATTTTTCTTAAGATCGGTAAAGTACTTACGATTTATCATTGACGTGAGACAACCTTACCATCTTCGAGATTAGTTCTGCGTTGTATATGAATATTTGATGTTTGGAGAGAGTGGTTGTGCCGAAATCTTGTAGTGCCTCCACATTTATTTGCATCCGCTTACATTTAATTTGCTTAAGCCCTTTCGATTAATTTATTTA